AGGGCGGGCGCAGCGACACGTGCGAGTACTGCGGCAAGGTGTTCAAGAACTGCAGCAACCTGACGGTGCACCGGCGGAGCCACACCGGCGAGCGGCCTTACAAGTGCGAGCTGTGCAACTACGCGTGCGCGCAGAGCAGCAAGCTCACGCGCCACATGAAGACGCACGGGCAGATCGGCAAGGAGGTGTACCGCTGCGACATCTGCCAGATGCCCTTCAGCGTCTACAGCACCCTGGAGAAACACATGAAAAAGTGGCACGGCGAGCACTTGCTGACTAACGACGTCAAAATCGAGCAGGCCGAGAGGAGCTAAGCGCGTGCGTGGGCCGGGCCCCCCCGCACCTGTACAGTGGAACCGTTGCCAAGCGACAGAATGCTGACCTGACACTTGCCTCCGTGTCACCGCCACCGAGCACCCCCGCGTGTCCCTGGGGCCCGAGGGGGAGGCGGCTCTCCAACCTAACCTGTGTCTGCGAAGTCCTATGGAAACCCGAGTCAAAATTGTGGAGCCTTTTAACTGTGCAATAATTTCTGTATTTATTGGGTTTTGTAATTTTTTTTTTTGGCATGTGCAGGTACTTTTTATTATTATTCTTTCTGTTTAAATTCCTTTGAAAGAGTTTGTTGGGTATCCATCCCTTCTTCTTCTTCTTCTTCTTTTTTTTTTTTTGAAAAACCCAGTAGAAGCCTGAGCAATGACTCGCAAGCAATGTAGAGGGGAAGCATAGCTTTTAAATTATAATTTGGGAGGGAGGGCGCTGCTTTTTTGAAATTTAAGCTAAGCATGTGTAATTTCTTGTGAAGAAGCCAACACTTAAATGACTTTTAAAGTTGTTTACTTTTTTTACTCCTTTTTTTTTTTGGTCCTGAAATAAAAAGTGGCATGCATTTTTTGGGGGTGGGGGTGGGGGCGGGGTGGGGAGTGGATGTACAGCGGATAACAATCTTAAAGTTGTAGCACTTTGTTTCAGAGTTGGAGTGGAGCTGTAGCACTGATGATGTCCTGAGAAACAGGGGCCTTTTCTGCGTTGATTTCAGCCTTTCCATGAATAACAGGGGTGAACTTGGAGTGGTGGGGGAGAGGCCCCCAAAACTCTGCACACTGCCAGAGACACAGGAGTTTTCGAGGGCTGCCCGGGGAATGGCCCCAGAGGATTCTAAAATTGTGCATTACCAGCAGACACTACCCCCTCCTTGAAATGGAGGTGTACCCTGGGATGCCGTCTTAGCCATTTGCCATAGAACAGGCTAACGTGGGCTGAGGGTACCTTTTTTGGGGTCGATGGTGGTGGCCTGCAGTGACACAGAAAGGAAGAAACCAGCCAGGTTCTTCCGGGCTCCTTCTGGCTTGCCAGCTTCTCTCTCTCTCTCTCTCTCTCTCTCTCTCTCTCTCTCTCTTGTTATCACCCCCACCACGAAAATCCCAAGTCCTACGAGTTGCTGCCCATGATAGTGATGATCGGTCATTTCTCAAGCAGACAAGTGCCCTGACGGTGACTGGAGGGAAGTTAGCATTCTCATTTCATGCACACGTGACATTCCAAGGCCCGGGGTGGGGGAGGGTGGGACCGTGCGAATTTCTGTTCCCTTTCCTGGGAAAGCAGGGGAAGGTCCATCCCAAGGTGCCCAGCGCTGCTTCCCTTTTTATCATTCCCATTCGGTTGGAAGGTACTAAACCCACGAGATTAGATGTTTGAGTTCTGTTGACCCGCACTTTAAAGCTTTTGTTTGCATTTAAATTAAATGGCTTCTAAACAAGAAATTGCAGCATATTCTTCTCTTTGGCCCAGAGGTGGGTTAAATAAGGGACGACTGAGATTGAGTGTCAGTGTTGCTAAGCGTGGCATTCACAATACTGGCACTATAAAGAACGACATAAAATAATAACTTATTGGACAGTTTCTCTACTGCCATTCGATTTGATGTGAGTGCCTTGAAAACTGATCTTCCTATTTCAGTCTCTTGAGACAAATGCAAAACTTTTTTTTTTTTTTGGAAACGAAAAGACTTTTTTAAAAAAAAACGTAAAACGAGAAAAGTACGTTCTTTAGACACAAACAAAGCCACACTTACTTTCAATACGATTTTTAAAAATCCCGGTTGAAGATAGAGGACATGAAAATGCCATCAGACCCAATCGAGTGAAGAAATAAACCCAGCACAACCTTGGACATACAATTGTTAGCTGAAGGTCCTCAGCCCCCTTTTGTTTGTGGGACAACGCTGCTTAGATGTGGAGTGGAAGTGATTTACTGCTGAATTAAAACTCAAGTGACACAAGTGACAAGTTGATATCGTTGAATGAAAAACAAAACAAAACAAAAACAATTCAGGAACAATGGCTAATTTTTTTTCTAAAGGTAAATTTAGTGCACTCTGTCTTAAAAATACGTTTACAGTATTGGATACATACAAGGGTAACAAAAATTGTGTGTATGTGTGTTGGAGAGATCATCCCCCCCCCCCAAAGTTTTGCTTAATAGGTTATAAAAGATGCCACAGTGGCTGTGTGTATATTGTTTCTTTTGGTGATGGGGTTTTAGTATATATTATATATATTAAAATTTCTTGATTACTGTAAAAGTGGACCAGTATTTGTAATAATCGAGAATGCCTGGGCATTTTACAAAACGAGAAAAAAAAACACCTTTTTTCTTTTCCTTGAAAATGTTGCAGTAAAATTTAAATGGTGGGTCTATAAATTTGTTCTTGTCACAGTAACTGTAAAGTCGGAGTTTTAGTAAATTTTTTTCCTGCCTTGGGTGTTGAATTTTTATTTCAAAAAAATGTATAGAAACTTGTATTTGGGGATTAAAAGGGGGTTGCTACACCATGTAGAAAAAGTATGTAGAAAAAAAGTGCTTAATATTGTTATTGCTTTGCAGAAAAAAAAAATCATTCCTGACCTGTACTTATTTTTCTCTTCCCACCTCCCTCTGGAATGGATATATTGGTCGGTTCATATGATGTAGGCACTTGCTGTATTTTTACTGGAGCTTGTAATTTTTTAACTGTAAGCTTGTCCTTTTAAAGGGATTTAATGTACCTTTTTGTTAGTGAATTTGGAAATAAAAAGAAAAAAAACAAAAACAGGCTGCCATAATATATTTTTTTAATTTGGCAGGATAAAATATTGCAAAAAAAAAAATTTGTATGTTCAGTCCTATTGTACAGGAGAAAAAGGGTTGTCTGACAACCTTGGAGGGAAAGAAGCAAAAGGAAGTCGTGAAATGCTTTGGTTCACAATCATTTGAGTTGTGTGTGTTTTTGACGCAATCGGCCCGTACAAGAGAAGTGTTGGAGCCAGGCTTCCCTTGCACCCAGGCCCCCTGGCCCGGCCCCAGCAGACCCGATGGGAAACCCATTATTCCTGTTGAGTGGAGAAGTCAGCTTCTGTAAACATTTCCCAGCGTCCTCCCTTTCTCTAAGAGGCCATCTGTAAGGGGTCAGTGTAGAGAGAGCAGAGAGCGAGTGAGCATCTTCCGTCTCCCGGGTCCTTGCCCTGGCAGTCACCACCATCACTTCTCCCGCCCGCCCTGCAGAGCAGAAAGAAATGCGAACTGACCTTTCCTTAGTCCTTGACCACACCTTAAACAGGAAGCGTCTGCAAAGGAGCTGGCCCAGCAGCAGCGCACAGGTGACCCGACCTGCTGTTGAGACCAGCGAGCTGAGCGGGCTTTCAGGAGGGAGCCCCCTGGCAGCCAGGGCCTTTCACTCCACGGAGGGGCTTGGCCTGTCGCCCTTTCCTGCTCTGCTGCTTTTCTGTCCGAAAGCTACATCCCGTCCGTGTCCGAATGCCTAGGGCCTGGGATGGGCTCGGTGCCTTTCCATCTCTCCCTCCCCATGTGTCTTCTCCATCCTCCACTGTTGGTCCTTTATTTGTTTTCATTTCCATTTAATTTATTTTCTTTCTCCCTTTCTGTCTCTTCTCTTCTCTTCTCTTCTCTTCTCTTCTCTTCTCTTCTCTTCTCTTCTCTTCTCTTCTTTCTTTCTCTCTCTCTCTCTCTCTCTCTCTCTCTCTCTCTCTCTCTCTCTTTCTCTGTAAAGCCAAGTAGCTTTAAGATGATAAAGTGGTAGTTTTTTGGATGAGGGAATAATACATTAAAAAATACCTATATCAGGAAGCCATTTTTTATTTCAGGAACTGTAAGAAACCATTATTTCAGGTTATGAAAGTATAACCAAGCATCCTTTGGGGCAACTCTTTACCAAATGCAGAGATGGGAGCTTCTCTGCTGAAATTCTCTCTCCTCCTTGCTACTTACCTTTGCAATGGGGAGGAGAGGGGAAGGGAGTGGGGGGCAAAGCTGAGGTGTCAGTTTCCTACCTGCTTGACCCTGAGCCCCTTGGGCTGCTCTGTGAGCCTCCCAGGCGACCCTCCTGTAGTGAGAAACGTAGCCAGCTCTTCCCAGCTCACACCCAGTCACCAGAAGCCAGGACTAAGCCATCCTAAAGCACAAAGATTGTGTCTCTGTCCACCGACGGCAGAAAAAGAGAGCATTTTGCTTCTTTCACGTTTCGAAAGCCAACGCTGCAGCAGATGACCGGGTGGGAGAGGCCCGGCCTGGGCGACCCCGCCGACCGGCCGCAGGCTGGTTTTCACACTGCCAGGACTTGGTTCCAAGTTGCCCCAAATAGGAACCTGCCACTTGCCATTAGAGGGTCTGTCGTGGGAGAGGGGGAGGCTGAACCGGGAGGAGAGTGCGAGGAGGAAAGGAAGTCGGCCTTTCTTCCCGGCTCAGGGCGGCCAGGCGACATTGTGTGGGGCCCAGGCGACCTCGTGATTTTGGTGCTCTTTGTACCCCCTTCCCCCTCCCCTGCAAAGCCAAGTTCCATTGATTTCAGTTTGCATTTGTATTGGCGAGGCGAACTATACTATTTTTATTACCTTTTCTATCACTTATTGTATGAGCTTTTGTTGTTTACTTGGAGGTTCTGTCTTTTGCGACAAGTTTGAACTATTTATTGCTTGGTATTGGTGCCCTGTTTAAGAAACGGGCACTTTTTTTTTTTTTAATTATGGAGAAAATGTTGAGATGACAGGAGGTCATTTCAATATGGCTTAGTAAACTATTTATTGTTCCTTTTATTCTCTGTACAAGATTTTGGGCCTCTTTTCCCCCCTCAATGTCACGATGTTGAGTTCAGCATGTGTCTGCCATTTCATTTGTACGCTTGTTCAAAAACCAAGTTTGTTCTGGTTTCAAGTTATAAAAATAAATTGGACATTTAACTTGATCTCCAAACCTTGTCCTTTGCTGTGTCTTTTAAAGGTGGGGGATGGACAGCTGATTCCCAAGGGCGAACGGAAGG